TGAAAACAGATTTATTATTAATCATTTTAATTGAAATTAAAATAAAGCAATAAAGAATTAATAAAGTATCAATCTTTTAGATTAAAGAATAGATACTCTAAGAATTAATATAATTTCATGATGAATTCAATGAGATATAAGTCTGCAATAAGATACGTATAAATGATAAGTTATCAGTGATGAATGCTGATGAAGTAATAAATGATAAATTATCAGTGATGGATGATAATGAAGTAATAAAGACATTTATATAATTTTAATAAATAACAACAATTTTCTTTCTGTCTGTCTGTCTGTCTGTCTCTCTGTCTCTCTCTCTCTCTCTCTCTCTCTCTCTCTCTCTCTCTCTCTCTCTCTCTCTCTCTTTCAAACTTTATTGAAGTTATATTGAGCACGTATTTACTTCTCTTTTATATCAATAAAGCTTTACAGACTTCTTACGCTGCCACCTATAGGTCGTAATTAATTTAATTTTTCCTTATACTGACTACTATTGCTAGGCAGTTTTTACAAATATCATAAAACTTGATTTTTAGAGTACATGTATGTCTGTTTAATATATGAAAGATTTGACGCTTCATTAGTTAAATATTCGTTAATTGAAAATAAACTCCAAAAAGCAATATTTTTATTGTTGCCAATTGTATCTTTTCTGAAGAATTTATTGCTTTACTTTTTAACAGAATTTACCAGAACATTCACAATAAATGACACTTTCTCTTTCTCTCTCATTCTCATTCTCTCCTCACATTAATTATATAAGTTTGATTACACAATTATATGTATAATCTTGATAAACAACTGATTGATAAACAACTTACAAAATATTAGTATTAAAAATTCCATCTAATTGCATAATTTATAAAGTTATTTAATAGAATAATTGTGCCTTTTCTTATAACTTCCTAATGGATATGCCGCACTTGTGTGGTATAATGTAATATCCTGGTGCATTAGCTTATTAACTGACTATATCATTCAAAGATTTGCTGTACATAGATTTACGGACGTAAGGTTTTAGTTCAGTTAAATGGTAATTAGAGTTAGTACTATAGTCTGATGGAATTAATCATTTACTTGTGTTACATCCAGTCATATTATATACATAATTTTTTTTTGTTAAACACCTTTATCGTTTCGCGATCATCGCTACTATAGTATTAAAATACAATTTTTTACATTACATGCGTAAATTAATTCGCTATTTTTAATTTATTTTAAATTTCAATATCTCATTGTGTCTTAAAATGTCATTTATTGTGTTCACAATATGATATATGATATGGCAGAACAAGTGACACATACTTAAAAAAAGAAAAGTAGTAATGAACGTGATAAAGTGCGTAAGATATCACATTTTTTAGTAGATGAGATGATCTGTTTTAAGTGAAGGTAACTTATACAATATAAAAAATATTAAAGATTTTTCTAAAGATTTTGATTTGAGTGACTGAAATGTTCCGGTAAACCTCAAAAATTTGAAGATAAATTATAGCAACTACTGTTAAATCAAAACTAAGGATGCACCGGATCGTAAAATTATCGGATATCGGATATCGGATATTCGGAATATAATATCGGTATTCGCTCGAGAAGATGATTTCTTCGAGTCGGATATCCGACATTTTCTGAATATTCGATCGGGTTTAGAGAAAGAGAAACCAGGTATAGAAAAAAGATTGTAATTTTGCAATAATATAACATATTACAGCATTATAAATATGCATACTTGTTTCTAGAACATTTGTATAGGAAAAAAATCAAGAATTTAATGATATCAAATTCAATGGGATATATTTTTAGATACTAATGATATCCGGCTATCTGGTCGGATAGTAAAAAAGTGCCTGATATCGGATAGTAAAAAAGTGCCGGATATCGGATATCCGGTGCATCCTTAATCAAAACTGTACATAAACGCAATGAGTGAAGTTTGCTATCAACAATTTCAAGTCATTCGATAGATTATTTTTGAGATTTTCAAATGAGAAAAAAGATCAAGAGGAAGGTAAATTAATTTTGTATATATTAAATGCAAACAATAAACAGCTTATTATGAATCTTGTAAATAAAAAAATAATTATATAAAGTAATTATATAAAGTAATAAGAAAATAAATAAGAAAGTAAATAAGAAAAAAATTTTTTTTCAAGTAGATAATGAAAAATGAATTTTGTATGAATAAACAGAGAAAATCTTATATTTAAATAGATTTTGGCCAATCATGACATCAACTGTAAAGTCCAATTCACTAAGAAGAACATTATTATACATATTACTCGTGAGTAAAAAGTCCCAGATATCCCAGTATAATAACTCGAAAACTAAGCATTTCCGAAAGAAATATTTTCTTACAAAAGTTATAAGGGTTTAAATGATCTATTTACTGATCTGATCAGTCTGACCTTGGATGGCATCGCTAAGGTCAGGTCAAGATTACATCGATAATCGATTGCGTAATGCTAATATCGGCGGTAATCTTCAAGCCTTGTAACTCAAAAAATACTTTATGAAAAATAACTTTATTGTAGTTTTTGAAAAGCTTTTGATATCAGCTATTAGATTTTGGAATCAAAAATAGGATATGCCATTAAAAAAAAATCAATGTGATTTTGACCTGATTTTGACGATGCCACCCAAAGACTGATTAGATCAATGAAGAGACTATTTAATCCTACAACTTTTGTACGAATATTTCTTTCGGAAATGCTTAGTTTTCGAGATATTTTATCGGTCCGGAACTTTACTCACCCTGTATATTTCATAAAATATAAAATATAAAATATAAAAGATATATTGACACATTGATACATTATGAACTATGGAATTTGAAATAAACTATGGATTATCAGTAATTCATTAATTTAAATAACAGATCGGATTACGTATTTTATTGAACTAATTATTTATTAAGAAAGATAAAAAAATTTC